GAGCTGCGATTCCCGGCTCCCGGCAGAGGGGAGCACGAGTCCCGCAGGAGAGCGCTGCGCTCGTGCCCCTGAGCTGCCCCATCCCTGGGGGAGTCACACAATAATCCAGACGTCCCACCAGGCTGCTGGGGCGTGCGGTTCTGAACAAGGAATGCCCGTGGAGAGGCGGCCACATCTCCCTTTCCCTTTTATTCCCATCCCCACCGCCGGCTGTTCTGAATCCTTGCCTGCTGCCGCAGGTGCTCACCCCCCTGATCCCCGCTTCTGCCTGCTCCTGCCATGATCGGGTCCTATCCCCTTTTTCCTTGCCACGTTTCCTCCCTTCTTTCCCCTATCCATAGGGGAAATTTCCCCCTCCTGCATTTTCCAGCTGCAGGGACAGAGAGGCTGAGGGTGTGCAGCTGGGGAAAAGAGGGTCAGGGTTTCAAATAACCTGGTTATTTGTGGGGTGTTGTGTCTCCATGTACTTTTTGAAGCAGCAGCAGTAGGAAGGGGAGTCGGTGTTGGTAAAAAAAAAAAAAAAAAAAAAAAAAATCCCAGATATTGGAAACTCCCAGTGGGTGCAAGATTTCCCCGCGCAGACTTTGGGATGGGATGTCGCTGACCCAGAGGGGTCGCCCATCCGCGGTGGGCACTGACACCAGCCCGGCCACAGGTGTGGTTCCAGAACCGTCGGTCGAAGGAGCGGCGGATGAAGCAGCTGAGCGCGCTGGGCGCCCGTCGGCACGCGTTCTTCCGCAGCCCCCGCAGGATGCGGCCCCTCGGCGGCCGCCTCGACGAGTCCGAGATGCTCGGCTCCACGCCCTACACGTACTACGGAGGTGAGGGCCGGCCCGCGGGGTCCCTGCCCTGTGGCCCCTCTTGTCCTTTGTTCTCCGCGGCTTTCCCCGCCCGTGCGCACACGCGTGCCCGCAGCCGCGCACACGCACAGCCGGCTCCACGCACCCCCACGGCCCCCCCGGCATTGCGGGGCCCCTCTCCCGCGAACAAAGCCCCAGCTGCGGGGCTTTTGTCCCCCTTTCAGGCCGCATTTGTTCCAGTTACCTCCCGGGCCCGCAGCATATGGAAGGTCAGTGCGGGCCGGCCCCGCTGCCCCGACGGGCGGCCCGCGCCTCCCCGTCCCCCAGCTCCCCGCAGAGCCCCCCAAAAGCTGCATTTGCAAAGCCTCCCGTCTCACCAGGGGCTTTCCAGGCACCCCTTGTTGCCCTGCGGTTAGTTTCTAGATCCCTTCCAAGCTGCTTAAACACACATATGAATTTCACATTATATATAAAATGCATTTTTAATGCATTTTTTTCCTATTATATATAATTTTCCCCATGTACATATATTTTCCCACTATATACATTTTCCCCCTTACATATTTATTTTTTTGCCTATTCTTTTTATATCTGCGTTTCCCCCATTCCCTTTTTATATACATATGTATAAATATATGCACGTGGTGGGGTTTTTTCCCCATTAATTAAGCCCTAAACTGAGCCCATTTTCCCGGCTCCCTCGCCTCTCCCAGCCCGGATTCGCTGCCCTCCCTCACTCCAGGCTGGGCAAAGACAGGGTGATGGGCACTGCAGCTCTTAGGACGGGTTCATTCCTCTCAGGTTGGATTTAAGTCCCACCCGCCCTTTGGGTCCCACTTTGGGAGCCAGCAGAGCGTTTTGGAGGGGACGGCACGGGGCTGGTTTGGGGCACAGCGGGATTTCGGGAGGTTTTTAACCCCAGGAGACCAAATCCATGCATTTCGCCCCCTCCCCACAGATTACCAAGGTGACTACTACGGGCCGGGAGGCAACTATGACTTTTTCCCCCACGGGCCGCCCTCCCAAGCCCAGTCCCCGGCCGACTCCAGCTACCTTCAGAACTCAGGACCCGGCTCCACACCCCTGGGACCCTTGGAGCCCCCCCTAAGCGGACACCACTCCTCAGAAAACCAAAGGTACACGGATATGATCTCGCACCCCGACACCCCGAGCCCCGAGCCGGGGATGACGGGCTCGCTGCACCCCATCCCGGGGGAGGTCTTCAGCGGGGGGCCCAGCCCGCCCTTCTCCATGTCCAGCAATAGCGGCTACAGCGGGGCTCTGTCGCACCCCAACCCGGAGCTCAGCGAGGCGGCGGTGTGGTAGGCCCGGCCTGGGCACGCGTGTGCGTGTGTGCAGGGGGAAACCCCCCCTGGTCCCCCCAGCCCACGCGTGTCCCCCTCCTCGCCCACAGGGGCCGGTGAAGCCCCGCCGCAGATGCCAAAGCGCATCCCGGCATCCGCCCGTCCTCCCCATCCCCGCACCCCCCTTGGGGACCTTGGGGCCACCCCGCTACCTCCCCCCTCCCGGCATCTTCCCCCCGACACTTTTGGGGGGGCAAGGAAAGGTGCCCAGCCCTGCAGACCCCGCCGGCGTCGGGACCAGCGCCTCTCGGACCAAAGCTGAACTCGCCTGGACACGGCTCCCACCGCCCCGGCGGCACCGGGGACGGGCTGCGGCAGGGCTCCCCTGCTAATTAGCGTCCTTTTTAATTACCCCCTACCACAGGAAAGGGGGGAACGGGGAATAGCAGGAATAACCCCCCCGTGGCCCCTCCCTGCCCTCATTTTTATTGTTCCCGTCGCACCCCCGAGGAGAAGGTGGGTTTGGAGCCGGATTTTGGCGGTGGGGAGGAGGGGGCTGAGCGGGGCCAGGCCCGGGGCTGCCCCAGTGACTGGCTGAGACTGGGCTCCCACGTGGTGGAACAGACACCAGAAAGAGGCAGAAACAGGAAAAAAAACCCCACAAGGACAACAAAATAAAACCCCAAACAAACAATAAGCCCCAGAACTAAACCGAGCCAACCACAGCAGCAGAAATTTCACCCGAGCCTCGACGCCGAGTCCCACCCCAACGATTCCCAGAGGCTCCGCCAATTTAAGGATGTATTATAGTTTTTGCTTCTAGTTTCTTTATTTTGTATAAAGGAGAAACAAATAAAGTATGTTTTTGTGTTTACTGATTATTTATTGTACTTTAGTCATCGGAGGCTCCGAATTTTTCTATTTTGAAGGCAGGGAGGGGATGGCACCGGGGAGGGGGGTGAGAGCATAGAGAGAGGGGGGGAATAAAAGGAAGGAGAATGGAAAAGGAAAGAAAAAAAGTTGTTTTCTGAAAGCGTCGTGGGTTTCCTGTCCCCGCTGCCTCTTGCGGAGGCTGTTAGTGTGAATGGCTCTTGTTGTTCAATGTGAATAAAAAACCTTTTAGTTACCTACTGTTCGGTCACCTGGTCCCTTTCATTTTATTTTATTTTTATTTGTTTTAACACAAGCCCGTGAGAAATGCTGGCCGGGCTCCCCCACCGTCCCCCAGCCCTGCGTGGGCTCTGGGGGAGCAGCTCCCGCCGCTGCCCAGCTCACCTGCACACAGGGATGCCGCTGCATCCCCAGCCCTCCCCCAGCTCCCCCAGCCCCAGGGCTCCCTGGCTCTGGGAAGGGGCACGTTACCCAGCTCTGCCCCTTCCCCCAAGGCAGACAGCACAACGCACAATTCCTTTCTCCTGGGGGCACCCAAGACCCTCCCGGAGCAGCCCAGGGACACCTGCAGCCCTGCTGGCAGAGCAGCTTCGGGGAGACACCCCAAGTGGGGGTTCAGCAGTGCCAGCAGCAGCTTTTGTCCCATTTTCCCTGGGCATACTGGTGCCAGGAGGAAGGGGGGGTCCCCTCCCCAGCACCCCAGCTCACTGCCCTTCTCTCCTGCTTTCTATCCCTTGAGATACAAAAATAAAAAGTCACAGGCAGGCTGCAGCTCTGAACTAATATTTAAAATGCAAAATCATGGCAGAGTTTTTCACACCCCCCCCCCCCCCCCCCCCCCGCAATTCCTAATCAAAATGCACCATTATATTCCCCGCTCCTTGTCTTGCAGTAAAACGATATAAACAGAATAAATTACCTTCCCTTGCTGGCTTACGAGAGTCCCTCTCTCCTGACCTGAATTTTAAGTCCTGGCTCGGTTGTAGCACGGAGCACCGATGATTTATGGAAAGCCAGCCACATCTCTGCATATTTTCTCTGCTCAGCCAAGTGGTGGAATTTATCCTTCCTTTACCATTACTGGCATTAATAACGGGGTGGCCAACGAGCCACACTGAGCACCGAGCCAGCCCTCAGCCAGGAGCTGGGGCCAGCACAGACTCTGGGCTTCCCTCAACCCCCCAAGAAAAACACCTTCTCCCCTTTTCCCAAATGGGGAAACTGAGGCAGGAGCACAGCTGGCTGCTCCCCTGAGCTCCAGCACTCCCAGGTTGTCTGTGTTAGCAGGAAATTGGGAATTTTCATAAAGACAGGGTGATGTGCTGGTAAATAATCCACCCACAGCATCATTTTGAGGAGTATAAAGTGGTCAGTCACTGGGTGAATACTGAAACTATTATTACTATTTTTATTATTATTAATTCAAAATTCAAGGCACAGAGCTGAGGCTGTTTTAGGCTGCTGGGACACCCCATCTTTGAGACCTGGACAGAAGAGGCTGCAGGAGAGATTGGGGATGATGCTCCAAGCTGCCAGCTCCCAGGCTGGAGGCTGGCAGGAGGATGGGACTCAGCAGGAGCAGCCATCAAAGCAGGGCAGATCCCAAGGGAAAATCCCCTGGCACAGAGGAGCTCTGCAGCTCCACTGGGTGCAGGAGCCAAACCGGGGTCCCCATCACCCCAGAGGCCCCAGGAAGGCAGCAGCTCTCAGGATTGCTGCCTGTCTCCAGCTGCAGAGTGACCGCAGGGCACCAGCTGGGCCCTGCCACCCCTTAGGGGTGTCCCAGCCACCCCGCACCTCACATCCCTGCCAGGCACATCCACGGCCCCCAGCTGGCACCCAAAGGCCCAGTGCCCCCTCCCGAAGGCAAGGAGGGGAAAAGCTCCCTGCTGGGTCACCCCAAACCCCACAGCCAGGCCCCTGCCACCCCAAACTCCACAGCCAGGTCCCTGCTACCCCAAACCCTACAGCCAGGCCCATGCCACCCCAAACCCCACTCCCTGCCCCCCAGCACTGACCCTTCTGTGCTGAGGAATCACCATGGTGAGCTCCTGACTGCCCTGACCCCCCCGCCAAGCAGAATCAAGGGAATAAATTCCTTTTTAAAAGCTGTTGGGCAAACACCAATGCTATTCGGTTTTGTTTTTCTTTTCTTTTCCTGACCTTCTTGCCTTTTTTTTTTTTTTTTTTTTTTTTTTTTGGGGAGGAGAAGGTCTGCAGAAGGTGGGAAGTAATCAGGTTTTGGACCTGGGATAAAAAATAGCTGGAGTAGGTTGGGCTGACTCCTTATAATTAATAGTGTGCCTCGTAATAGGATTCTCCAGCCTTCGGTGCTCCCTGGAAACACCTTTTTACATAAGATATTGCTCACGATGGAGTGGCAGAGCTCTGATTTATGGGGGTTTGGTCTCCACAAAACACCTGGGAAGGTGGCTTGACCGGTGGGAGGTGCAGGGCAGGGGGCTGAGGGCAGGGAGGGGCTTCTGGGGGGTTGGCAGCCAGGTCAGGGGAAAGGGCTCGTGGGGGGATGTGGGTGAGCTGCTCCTGGGGCTGGCTGCTCCAAAAGGGAGGAGGATGAGAGGGGTTGGGGGCAGCAAAAGGCTTCTCTCCCTGCCCAGCACCACAGGGCACAGGCTCAGCAGGGGAACCGGGTGGGGCTGGGGGGCACCAGCAGGAGCAAAAACCCGCATCACCCGGAATGGGAGGAAGGAGAGGGGAGAAATGTTGGGAGGACACAAAAAAACCCCCAGGAGGCGCCACAGGAAAGGGCTAAAAGCAAACACAGCGCTGCAGAGTGGAAATATGGGAGAGCAGGAGAGCTGGGGGGAAAGGGAGAAAGAGTGGGATGGGGGGGAAAAAGGGGGTTCTAGGATGGGGTATATCCCCTCCACATGTTAGAACACCTCGGAGCCCGCAGGTGTTAAACCAGGCCGGGGATCCCCGTGGATAAATCTCCGAAACAAGAGCGCTGTTCTCATCTGGCCACAGCCAACGTGGCAGGAACGGGAGAGGATTGTAATAATTAATAATCATTACAATAATAATGCATAAAGACAGTAGCAAAGTAATTAGTCAGAAAGGGAGCGTTTGCTAATTGAGGAGGGGAGCTGCAGCCCGAACAGCCTGGGGAGGAGCAGGGGGAGGGAGGAGAGGGGGGCAGAGCAGAATACCCGGCATGTCCCGGGGGAAAAGCGGGATGTGAGGGTCCAGTCCCACCCTCTGCACCTTGTGCCTGCAGTGCGACCCCCGTGCCTCAGTTTCCCCCTCCCTGCAAGGGCGCTGCCTGCTGCAAAAGGCTGCGTGAGGAGCCCGGCCCGCGTCCCCAGGCTTTATTTCGGTTCTTTGGGAATGAAAGCGAGCAGAGCGTGCCAGGCGGGCTCTGCCACACGCCCTGCCCGGCGCGGGTGTCACTCCAGCCCCAGCTGGCTCTGCAGGGCCCGCAGCTGGGCCGTGTGGATGTTGCTGCCGCCGCACACCACGAGCAGCACGGGGCGCAGCGGGCTCGGCAGCCGCCCCTCGCTCTGCAGCCGCCGCAGCCGCCCCGAGTAGAGCACGGCCAGGGGGGCTCCGCACGCCGGCTCCACCAGCAGCCGCTCGTCATCTGCGGGACCGAGCGGGGACTTTGCGGTGACACCGAGTGACAGCTGGCCCGGCACCCCGACCCCAGTGCCCCCAGGATCTGGCGGTGTCCCTGTCACCCTGACCCCAGGGTCCAGCAGTGTCCCTGTCACCCCGACCCCAGTGCCCCCAGGGTCCAGTAGTGTCCCTGTCACCCCAACCCCAGTTCCCCTGGCTCCGGCGGTGTCCCTGTCACCCTGACCCCAGGGTCCAGTAGTGTCCTGTCACCCCGACCCCAGCAGTCCCAGGGTCCAGTTAGTGTCCTGTCACCCCGACCCCAGCAGTCCCAGGGTCCAGTAGTGTCCCTGTCGCCCCGCTCACCCAGGAACTGCTGCACAGCCCGCACGGCCTCGGCGTCCTGCACCACCTGCGAGAGCACCTGGCACTCCCTGGCACACTCCAGCGCCCGCGCCGCCACCATCTTGGCTCCCAGGCACGTGGCCACGCTGGGACAGCAGGGGACAAGGCGGTCAAGGCGAGGACACTGCAGCGGGCCCTGCCAGCTCGCTGCACGCCTGGCTGCTCACCTGGTGATGTCGGGCAGGGTGACGAGCCGGCCGGCTTTGAGCGCCTCGTGGAAGCTGTGAGCTCCCAGCGTCTCGGCGGCGATGATGGGGACATCCTGCCAGCCCACCTGCTGCAGGCCGGCCACGACACCGGCCAGCAGCCCCCCGCCGCCCACCGCCACCACGATGGCGCCTGGTTTGTCCTCCAGAGAGTCCTTCAGCTCCCGGACCAGGCTGGCGTGACCCTCCCTGCAGGGGGAGGGCAGGAGGATGCAGCCGGGGGCTGCCCTGGGTTCTGGGGACGGGGAGTGGGGCCGGGAGCTGAGCCCTGGCAGCACTCACCACACCAAGGGGTGGTCGAAGGGGGGGATGATGACCCAGCCCTCTGTCTTAGCCAGCTCCTGGGCTCTGCTGTTGGCATCATCCCACACCTGGGTGGGGCAAGGGGGCTCAGCAGGGCTCCACAGAGCCCTCACAACCCCGGGATGGGTCCCTTGTCCCTGCGGGGCTGGGGGACACCAGAACGGGTGAGGGCTCCCGGGGTGAGCCTGCAGTGATGCAGGGGGTGCAGGAGGGGGACATTTCGGGATGGGGTTTGCCAAGCACCAATGAGCAGCTGAGGTCAGGCTCAGCCCTCTCTGGACCCCCCAGACCCCACTTTTGGGGGTACCTTGCCGTAGACCTCGACAGTCGCCCCCAGTTGCTGCAGTTTGCGCACGGGGGTGGGGCCGCTGCTGCTGGGGACCACCACGGTGATGGGCAGGGCCAGCTCCCGGGCTGCGTACGCTGCTGCCAGACCCGCGTTCCCTCCTGGGAGAGGGAGGGCTCAGCAGGGCTCGGCCCCCTGCACACCCCAGATTCCTCAGGAGCATCCCCCCAGCTCGGGGTGGAGTTACCTGAGGAGCAGACGAAGCGGCGGCAGCCCTTCTTGGCAGCCTGAAAGGCAGCAGAGAAAGAGGGGAGGGGACGGCTGTGTGCCCCCACTGTGCCCCCCGTGAGGGCAGGAGCAGCCCCCCGCTCACACCGTGCCCACACTCACATCCTGGCACAGGTGCCCGATGCCCCGGATCTTGAAGGATCCTGAAGGCTGGACGTTCTCCAGCTTCATGAAGACCTTGGTGCCCACGGCCTTGGAGAGGGACAGGCTCTCCAGGACGGGTGAAACGACGTGGAAGGGCTTCTGGCCCCCGAGCGGCTGGGCTGCCATGGCCTGACCGCGGATGCTGCGCCAGGGAGAGGCGGTGCAGTCACCAGCTGCTCCCCACGGGTCTCCCCGCAGCCCCTATGCCCACTCCGGGCTGACAGGGCTGTCCCCAGTGTCCCCTCCCATCTCTAGGATGCTCTCCCTGGAAGATCCCAGGCTTGTGCCACCCCCTCCTCCATCCCCGTGGTTCCCCCAGCCCCGGTGTCCCCAGCCTGTCCTATCCCCGGGCTGGGATTACCTGGTGTCCGCGGGATGTCTCTGCTTGTCCTCACCCACCGCCGAGCCTGCGCGACACCAGAGGGAAGGTGACGTCCGAGGGGCCGTGCCGCGGTCCCCAGGTCGCCGTGCTCGGTCCCGCAGCCGGGCAAGGGGCAGGGGTCGGACATTGCCCCGGCTGCTGGCTGTTTGCTCAGCCCGGGCGCGTTTGGAGGCTGCGCTGCTGCCCAGGACAGCCGGGCTCCCTGCCGGTGACCCGCCGGGACAAACACGTGTGGCACCGCCAGGCAGGTCCCGGCAGCTCTCACATGCCCGGGAGACGGGATGTGGGCTCCCAGGAGATGGGGGAAGAGGAAAGGCAGCTCACAAATGATTTTGGGGCCCTCAAGGGTTTGCAGTGGGTATTATCTGGTCCGGACAAAAACATGTACCAGAAGATTTTAGGATTTTGGCGCTGAACCCCTGGTGTAGCCAGGGCAGCCTGCACACCCCAACCCCCAGCCAAGACACCTCTCATTGCCTCTAAAAATAGCCATCACACCCCTCTGCTCACCCTGCCAGGTCCCCACCCCATGGCAGCCCTACAATCCTCTCCCAGATTCCCACCTCCAGCTGGGATGAACCCCTCTGCTCCAGCTGGCCATGCCAGACACCTCACAGACAAAGATCCCTTAGGGAGTGGCTGTCCCAAGTGACCCAGGCAGAGGCTGGCCCAGACCCAAGGTCCAGCAGCCCCCAGGCAAAGCAGGAAGAGTCCCCTCCCTTCCTCTGGGACCCCTCCTTGTCACCCAGCCTTGGTGACACCCCAGGGTAAAAGTCCTACCTCTGCTCTGAGGGGCTGGTTCTGTCCACAGCAGGCAGGAAGGAGGAGGAGGAAGGAGGGATCTGGAGGAAGGGCCAGCCCTGGCTCGCAGCCCCGCAGCCTCAGGAGGTTCCTGTGTTGCTCTGGCCAAACTGGAGCAGCCTGGAAACAAAGGGCACAAGGAGTCCTGGAGTGGGAGGACACTGCACTGGGACCAACACAGTCCAAACAGGGAGCACTGGGAATCCCACACTGTGCCAGCTCTGCCCCAGTGCCAGGCACACAGCAGTGAAAGCAGAATACAGGATTTCAGTGCCCTGTCCCAAACTGGGCTGCAAACCCCCCCCGAGCAGCACTGCTGGCAGGCAGCGAGCAGGGGAGAGCTCTGGGATTGCCCTGCTCCTCATGGAGATCGTCTTTGGTGCCAAAAAAACATCCCTGCTTCCTTCCCACACCACCCCTGGGCACAGCACTGCCCCTCTCCAGGGCCACTCTGCTGCTTTTTGGGACACAAGGGCCTGGAAAGGAGGGCAATGAGGAGCATTCCTTGAATGGGGGCATCGGGGGGGACACAGCTCCAGCCCCTTGAGTGACACCCCCACCTCACAGTAGGCAGAGACTGCAGGCACTTCCATGAGGGTGGGACAGCAGCAGGAGCTGGAAAGGGGTGGAAGAAGCCTGTCCCAGCTCTCAGGGGTGAAGCTGGAGTCCCCCTTGGGAGGGTACATTTCAGCTCAGCCCTGGGGTGCTCCAGGGTCCCTTTCCACCCCATACCCCCCTCCCTGTGCCTCTTCTGCTCCCCTTTGGCTCCATCCCTGCCATGAGGGAGGCATGCCAGGCTGTCACCTGGTCACTTCCCTTGGCCAGCGTCCCTGGCTGACGCTGTGGCAGCAGCTGGGATGGTATTTAACAGCTTTTTGTTTGTTTTTCCATGTTTAAGGAAACAAAAAAAGGGAATCTGCAACACTGTGGCATTTCCAGCGTGCCCTTTTCCTCCTTGCTGCTCCCTCACCCAGTGACGGCGATCTGTCTGGGGAAACTGAGGCACAGGGACCCCAAAAGCAGCCCTCCCCTTCCACAGTAGCCCACACACCATGGGGACACGAGGGGACAGAGGCTTCCCTGCAATCTGTCCCAGCACAGCAGGGTACGGACACCCCACCTTCCCCAGAGCACCCATCCCTGATTTTGGGGTGCCAGCACCCCAACAGCCCAGAGCTACTCCCTCCCAACCCCCTGCAGCCCCCAGGGGCCCCAGCCCCGGTGGGAACCTGGCACCTTCAAAGCTCTGCCGAGCCGCAGCTCATTAATCCCCCAGTAATGACCTCGTTATTCCTAACGAGCCAGAGCGGATCAAGGGAGCTGCCTAAGAGGATTTTGCACCGCGGGTTTTGGGGACGGGGCACACAGGTGCCAGAGGAAAGGAAGACAAAAGGCATGGGGATGGTCTCCCACTCCTGGGGGGTGAGCAGTGGGGCTCCCCCATTCCACAGCCTGCACCCCAGAAGCCCCGGCCTCACTGGGCACACACCCAGCAGAGAAGCAGATCCCCCTGTTAATGGGGAGAGGGACAAGACCCCTGCGTGAGCCCACCCCTAACAAAGCCACCAGAGAACCTCAGCAGAGGGCAAAGCACAGCCACCAGCACAGAGCACTTTATTATTTACCACAGCCAAACCAGCTCACTGCCCTCCTGCCTGCGCTGAGGGCGAGCCCCAGCCTCCCAGGATGCCCCTTTTCTGGGAAAAGCCCCCCCAAACCAGGCTTCAGCACCCAGGGAAGAGCCTGGAGAGCCCCATGGCAGGGAGGGGACACGCTGGGCTTGTGCAGCACAGCCAGGACCCTGAGAGGCAGAAAGAACAGGGGGGGACCCCGTTACACAGAGCTGAGAGCTTTTACAGAGCCGAGCCCCCCACAACCAGCTGCCCCCACAGAGGGATCCCCCACAGGACAGACGCCCACGGATGGACTGATGGACGGGACCAGAGCCTGCTCAGTCCCAGTGGACCTTGACTGGGGGGAAGGTCCAGAGGTCGGGGTGGCCCATGTGGAGCAGGGAGCTGCAGGGGGACGCGCTCCAGCGGAAGGGTGGCACGTCGTCCCAGGCGGGGCCGCTGACTGCCACCAGCCCGAAGGTGGGCACCATGCCCGAGGAGGTGACCTGCACGTGGGGACACAAACAGGGCAGCGAGTCAGCGCGGGGCACGGGCTGCACGGCCCCCGGAGGAGCCCCCGCAGGGCTGCCTGGCGGGCACACCTTCATGTCGATGCCGCCGTGGCAGCGCTGGCGCAGGGCGGGAAAGGGGTAGGAGCCGTTGGAAGGGTTGAGGTCGGAGCGGGCGGAGATGGCGTTCTCGGCGTTCTGGGGGGGGTCACAGCCCCTGCACCGCGACAGGGGGTCCTGCAGGTAGTTGTTGGACCTGCAGAAGGGAGGGGACAGAGCCACGGTGAAGACACAGAAAAAGCCCAAGGATCACAGAAAATTCCTTGGGGGAACAGCCGGGTTTGGGGGTGCCCAGCACACACCGCATCAGGCGGATCATGGAGTCCAGGTCGTGGACCAGCGTCTGGTTCCGGCGGAAGATCTGGGCACGAGGGTTCTTGTCATAGGTGAACCAGTCGCCGTATTTCCTCACCAGCTCCAGGTTCCCACTGGTGTTGAAGATCTCCTCGAAGTACCTGGGGTGGGGGAACCCAGCAAGGTGGCACCAAGGGGGTGCAAGGTGGGCACTGCTGCCCCTCTGTCCAGGGTGGGCCACGGGGAGGGATGGCACTCACGGCACGTTGTAGCTGGCCCAGTAGCCCTGCTGATACAGCAGCTTTGTCTGATCAGCCACCACCACCAGGCCCCTGTGCTGGGAGGAAGAGCACTGGTCAGAGCCGAGGGGGGAAAGTCACAGGGGGTAGTAGGGGACATGCTGGGCTTGGGGGAACACACACTGGGGGACCCCACTGTGGGGTTCCCACACCAGCCAGAGGTGCTGGGCACCCATCACCTCAGCACCAGCACCCCCAGAGCCTTTAGCCACAGACAGGCCCCACTGCCCTGTGACCACCCATGGGGCTGGGCAGGCATCACCCTCAGGACCTTCCCAAACCCACAGGGATGGGACAGGAGACAGCAGAGGCTCAGGGAGGAATGGAGCCACTCACGGGATCTGCTCCAGCACTGTCAGCACACCCGGTGCTGGGCTCGCTCTGCCCGGTGTGAAGGCATTGTAGTCCACCACCATCCACTGGTTGTTGTACCTGGCATGGAGAGCAAGGAATGTATCCCTCTGGCAGCCTGGGCACCTCATCCGATCCCACTGATGCCTTAGGTTTTAGCTTTTATATTTTTCAGATTCTGTGCTGCTTTAGTGTGTAGTTCTAAGGTTCATATTAAGGGATGTGAGCTCTATTCACAGATTGGGGAGACAAAACAAGTCCTTCTCTATCTTGGGACCAAGGACAAATGATCCAAATCTCAGGACCAAGAGCATAAACAACGTGGACTGAAGAGAGAAAAACAAGAAGGAAGGGACTTCATAACCTAAAGCTGTAACTGGACAATTAACTCCAAGATGCAAATGGACCAGCACTGATCCAAGTGAGAGACCCCGTGACCAGTCGTGCATTTTGTGACCATTTTGGATCACCCTGGGTGTAGCCCCGGCTGGGCTCTTGTGCTGCCCAAGGTGCATCCATTGAGGCCTTTTAATAAATCCCCACTTTATTCTTTAACCCTGTCTAGCCCCTGTTCTAGATCAGCCTTCACAAGGCACCGCCATCCCTCCAGGACCAATTCCCAGGCCCACCCCACCCCACTCACGTGCCGCTGTTGAAGCGTCGGAAGAGCGCGGCCCACTCGGACCCACTGCGGGCCAGCCTGTTGGCCACGATGTTCCTCAGCCACTCCAGGACGCTGCCCCGGGGCTCCAGGTACTTCCACAGGGCCGGGTTGTTGTTGCCAATGGTGGTTTCCAGCGTGACCTGCAGGGCAGGGAGCGATGGGGAGGGCAGCAGGGCTGGGGGGGTGCCTGAGGAGCAGAGCCACTCACCAACCCACTGCTGAGGATGTAGAAGTCATCCATGGAGAAGATGGTGCCGGGGTAGGAGGAGAACACCTGGACGCTCCCAGGGATCTGGGACTTGCCTGGAGGGGGGATGCAGAGCATCAGGAGGGGGGTGTGAGGCGCAGCCCCCCCAGCCCAGCGCACGCACCGCCGGCCGAGGCGCGGAAGGGCAGCGTGTACTTCTTGATGACGCGCAGCATGGCCTGGTAGGAGCTCCAGGTGTCGTGGGCCACCAGCAGGTCCCGCTGGCCCGGCAGCAGCTTCAGCAGAGCCGAGCAGGAGCCCGAGCCCAGCACACGCTGCGGGGAGGAGCGGTTCAGGGCAGACTCCAGGTCCTCCAGGTCACCCCCCAACTGCAGCAGCCTGGGGGGAAGCAAGGCATAAGATGTCAGGTGAGGGATGCCCCAGGCCTGGAGCTGAGCTGGCTCAGAGCTCTCTGTCCGTCTGTCCATCTCCACCACACCCCAGGGCAGGCACTCATGCTGGCAGCACCCTGGTAGCATGAGCAGGGAGGAAAGGGGGAGCACAGCAGTGGGGAAACTGAGGCAGGGGCTGTGGGGGGAACGCACCACCCAGCACACGGGGTGGGGAAGAGGACAACCTGCCTCGGCTCCGACCTGCCACAGCAGAAGACAAATGCCCAGAAAAGGTGAGCAAAGTAGACTGGGAGTAGAACTGGCTGTTCCTGGACATGCAGGAATGCAGGAGTGGAGGAATTGTCCCCACAGCACTCCAAACCCTGGGACAACCCTCCCCCACTCTCCCCCACCTCTGAGAAGGAGCTTACAGGAAGCCAAAGGGTGCCAGGGAGATCCTGCCCCTGGGGAAGTCCAGGCGCCCGTTGTAGCTGTCCTCCAGCCCCTTCAGCTGCAGCAGGGCCAGGCGCACCTGGGGACAGGGGACAGAGGTGGCACCTGGCTCCTGTGAGGAGGCAGGCTGACAGGATTTGGGGGACAGGCTCCCTCATTCCCCCAGGGGACAGAGCAGATCAGTTGGGTCTCAGTGCTGCTGCAGAGGCACGGGGGGAAGTGTCACTGTCAGCAAGGTCATGACTCAGCACCCATGGCCGAGAGTGATAAAGCCACCTCCTGTACACCCCAACTGCAGCACGCAAGGCTCTGGCGAGGACAAAGTCACGAGTCACCTCTACTCACCCCAGGAAGGAGGCTGACCACATCCCTGTCATCCCACCTGGAGCTGGGCCAGGACAGCTCACTGCCCCGTACTGTCCTCTGGGCTAAAGGCCCAGGAGGCCCAGGGGGTTCCCCTGGTGGGGGCTCCCCATCCTCACCTGGTGCCAGTACTCGGTGTCCTGCCCTTTCTCCATCTGCTCCTCCATCCAGGCCAGGTTGGCCTCCAGGTAGCTGCGCAGCTTCTGGCAGTACTCGCTCTCGTACTTGAAGGGGCCGCAGTAGCCCACCATGGTGTTCATCCAGTGCATGTACATCAGCTGGGGGACAGGCCAGCTGTCACCGCCGGGGCACAGCCCGGGAGCCACCAGGACACGCATTCCTGGAGGGGTCCCCCTTACCTGCTCGGTGACAGCAGCCTCGGCGAGCCCGGCAGCGTAGGCCTGCAGGCTGTCATTGTACGAGGCGTTGGTGGCCACCTCCAGGAAGGCCCAGCTGTGGGGACACGGGCACGGTGGGTCACGGACACGGCTGGGACGGGGCACCCCACCGGCCACGGCTGCCCCGCGGCCACCCCACCCCCGCTCGGCTCCGAGCGGCCCCGGCCCGTCCTGTCCCGTCCGGCCCGGCCCGGCTCGTACCCGACGTGCGGGATGCGGTCATCGAGGCTGGCCCAGGCGACGGCGGCGGGGTGGCGGCCGGGGAGGACGCGCAGCCGCTCGGAGCCGGGCTCCAGCAGCACGGAGACATTGCGGGGCACCGGGGACGGGGCTGCGCCGGCCGGGACGGCGGAGAGGAGCGGGGACAGCAGCGGGAACAGCAGCGAGGACAGCAGCGGGAACAGGAGCGAGGACAGCAGCGAAGCCACCAGCAGCACCCGCGGGGCCGCCATGGCGGGGACACCTAGGGGCGGGGCTAGGGAGGGACCACGCCCCTATCAGCACCGGCGCGAGTGAATGGGCGGGGCCGGGGCGGGGCTTCATTGTGACCACTCCCAGCCGTGCTCCGTTGTATTACTGGGGCGGGGCTGGGTTGGGGGCGGGGCGTCAGTATGGCCACGCCTCCATCGGGGCTGCCGCGCATCGGCGGGGTGACCGTGTTTGGGGCGGGGCGTTGTATGGGCCACGCCCCCAGAGCGGCGCCCTGTATAAACACCCACAAGGGGCGGGGCCTGGGGCGGGGCTTCTGCTATGGCCACGCCCCGCCGCTCCGAAGCGTGGGGACCCCTGAGGCCCCCCCACAACGCCCCTGTCCCCCCAAGGCGCCCCACGGCCCCACGGCCATACCCACGCTGCCATCGCGCC